ACTCTAAAGTCTGTAGGATGATATTCTATCCAGTGAGCCAAATCAGCTAGATTCAAAAGTTTAAGTTAATAGTTCTTTATTTTGAGCACTTGAAAATGTTGTGCCACTTCACTGGGGCTACATGTGTTTGGATACAAATTCTATTGTCATTTGAATTGCTTTCCCTCCACAAGTAAGGTTTCATTTCTCTCATATTACTTTTAAGATATTTTTCTTTTCGTTTTTTTCTTTTTTCTTTCTTTTTTTTTTTTTTTTTGTTGACTTTTTGTTTCTTTATTTTAAGAGCGTTTCTTATTGTTTATCAAAACATTTTTATATGGCTGCTTTAAAATCCTAGTCAGATCATTTGGGTATCTTTTTCATCTTGTTGGCATCTGTTGATTTTCTTTTCATTCAAATTGAGATATTCTTGATATGATGAGTATTTTTTATTAAAACTTGTACATTGGGGCATTATAAGACTCTGGATCTTATTTAAATATTTTCTTTTTTCTGATGTTCTCTGACAAAGCTCTAGTAGAAGGACAAGGTTGCTGCCCTGTTATGGTCAGGTAGGGGTGGGAGTCCAGCTTCCCTTTTTGGCCTGTATTTCAGCTGAGGGGAGTGCTTGTGCATACTCTCAGGGTGGGTGGGTATGGGCGTTCCTGCTTGTTTGTAGGTCTCCACTGATAATACCCTGGCTGGGATAGATACAAATGTCTACTTACTGCTCCCCACCTTGCTTCTGAAATGGGGTGGGGGAAAGAATGAGGGTTGCCTCATAGCTGCTGGGCAGCTGTGAAAGCTCTGAGTGTCCTCTCTGCATCCTCTGCAACCATCCTGGAAGGGCAGGGTAGGGACACCTCATTATCTTTGGATGGATGTGGAAATCCAGGCTACCCACTTGTTCTCTACTGACTCTACAGGGACAGGTGGTCCTCGTTACCTCTCAGCAGGGATGAAAATCTGGCTTCCTACAGCTTCTCCTACCTCACCCTCATGGAGACTGTGGTGCCTTGTTACTGCCTCACAGTGGCAGGAGTCGGCTTCCCGTTAGCCTGCTGGCATGGGAAGAGTTTTGACAGTTCTTCTTACAGTAGATTGGCTGTTATCTAAAAGTTCTGTTTTGGTTGTTTTTTTTTTTTCTTGTCTTAATTTCCTTTTTTTATATTTTTATTTTTTCGTCTGAGATGTATGACGCAAAAAACAAACAACTCACCGCCGTGGTGTTCATTGAGTCCTGCCATACCTAGTTGGTCTATCTTCTCTCCAGTATTCAGAATCATGTTATATTTGTTTCATACAAAAAAATTTAGGACTAAAAAAAAAGTTAAGACTTTTAGCTTTTCTTAGTGGGATGACTGTGGAAAAGTGTTTCTCCATTTTTCCAGAACTAGAAGTTTTGTACTACTTTTTTAAAAGTGATTTTTAAATATATTTTATTGATTTTTTTACAGAGAGGAAGGGAGAGGGATAGAGAGTCAGAAACATCGATGAGAGAGAAACACTGACCAGCTGCCTTCCTATACACCTCCCACTGGAGATGTGCCCGCAACCAAGGTACATGCCCTTGACCAGAATCGAACCTGGGACCTTTCAGTCCACAGGCCAACGCTCTATCCACTGAGCCAAACCAGTTTCAGCTAAAGTGATTTTTAAATGCTTATTTAAAAAGACATCGAACACTTGTAATGGTGATGAAACACCTCAGAAATAAATACAAACAACCAGATTTACTTACTTCTTTTTTATAAGTGGTTCTCTATAAACAGACAGAACTTGTTCTCATGAGATGGTTTCTTGTTTATGTGGGCTGTTCCTTAGCAGTACTTTGTTCAAAATAAAATGAAAAATTGAGAGAGTCTTGAGTAATGTGACAGGCTTCTTCACGTGGAGTCTATTTTATGGCTTCTTCTTTTCTAAAAACGTTTTCAAAAACAAAAACCTAGCCTTGGCCAGTTCGGCCCAATGAATAGAGCATTGGCCTGAAGGGTCCCAGGTTCTATTCCAATCAGGGGCACATACCTGGGTTGCAAGCTCAATCCCCAGTAGGTGCCTTGCAGAAGGCAGCCGATCAATGATTCTCTTTCATCATCATTGATGTTTCCATATCTCTCTCCCTCTTCCTTTCTCTTTGAAATAATAAAAATACATATTTTTAAAAACAAAACAAAAAAACTGGCCTTTCATTTGGGCTTGTGTAGTACTCTGGTGATACTGTATGTGATTGTTGATACGTTTGTACCAAATTCATATGTCATTTAAGTTACTAATTTCCTGTTATGGTATCAGGGTTTGTTGTGGGGGTTTTTTTTAGTCAGCAACTCGAAAGCCTGCAAATATTAAGGTATTGAAGCAATATAAAATAAAATATAATAGTAGATTCCACATAATTTCTAATTAAGGTAATATTATTTCTAAACAAAACTGTTTCCCCTGGCACTATATTCTTAACTAGTGGCCTGGTGCACGAGATTCATGCATGGAGAGGGGGTTCCTCAGCCCAGCCTTCACCCTTTCCAATCGGGGACCCCTTGGGGGATGTCTAACTGCCATTTTAGGCCCAATCCCACAGGGTTCAGGCCTAACAAGCAGTCAGACATCCCTCTCACAATCCAGGACCACTGGCACCTAGCTGCTCACCTGCCTTGCCTGCCTGATGACCCCTAACTGCCCCTTCCCCCCCCCCAGCCTGATCTTGCTCCCAACTGCTCTCCCCTGCAGGCCTGATCTCACCCCCAATTGCCCTCCCCTGCTGGCCAATTTGGTTCTGATTGGTGGGTTTCTATGCCAGTCAGCATCTTCAGGCCTATCGCCAGGCCTGATCAGAGAGGTGGGGCTGATAAGCAGCCCCTGTGGAGGCTTGCGGGGAGAGAGAGGTGGAGAGAAAAAGAGGGCGGCTGCTGGCAAAGCTCAAAAAGAGGGAGGCAACTGCTGATCAACAGCTGCTACAGAGGCTTCGGATCAGACCCTGCCTCTCTCTCCAGGCCTCTTTCTGGACATGACCCACGGCCATGCTGGGTCACAGTCAATGCTGGGTCATTATGCCCAAACTGGCAGCAGTCAGTGCTGGGTTGTGCAACCCAGCACTGACTGCAGGACTGACTTTTGGTGTTCAGTCAAGCTTTTAGTGGTCGTTACAGACCCTGGGTTTTTATATATTAGGATATATTATTTTTTGCCTTTTTTTCTTCTGGGCTGTTTATCCCCTTGTTACTTTATACCTGTTTATCAATCTTTTGTTTGTACTTTGACATGTAGAAGTTCTTTACAAATCTATTATTTCTCTCAATTTGTTATTCTATCTTTTATCTTTTTTATTGCAACTGGATTTCTAATTAAGATTTCCTTTTTTTAAATAGTACAGGTAGTTTTGTAGATTTCTCATTGCAAGATTTTTATTGTTTTGGTATTAAATTACCTATCCACCTGGGATTTGTTTTTATGTGTCTCAGTTGTTATTTTTTCAAATTGATGTTTAGTTTTGCCAGCATCATTCATTAAATTCTTTTCCCACTGAATTGAAATATTTATAGGTTCTCTATTCTCATCCAGGATTTTGTCTATTCCTATGCCCATAAATTGTATTAAGTTATAGTACATGCAAACATACACATGCAGGATGGTTAAGATATGGTTATAAGGCTGTGTGATTTTTGACAATAGTAATTAAGAATGAAATTGCTGCCCTAACTGGTTTGGCTTAGTGGATAGAACGTTGGCCTGTGGACTCAAGGGTTCCAGATTTGATTCAGGTCAAGGATGTGCCCAGGCTTAGTTGTGGGCACATACCCAGTGGGGAGTGTGCAGGAGGCAGCTGATCGATGTTTCTCTCTCATCAATGTTTCTAACTCTCTATCCTTCTCCCTTTCTCTCTGTAAAAAAATCAATAAAATATATATATATTTTTAAAAAAGAACAGAGTTGCTTCTCAGTGTTAACTCTCTAATCAAAATGAAATTTAATGAAGAGGCCAGTTGATAACTAACCCTGATGCTGCCAAATTAATGCTTTTGTAAATATTGAAAAGATAAATGTGTACCGTTTTGTGCCAGGTACGTTGATGGGGGTATATAATTTTTTTTCCACATCAAATTTATGAGGTTAGATTTAGCTTTCTTTTACAGATCTGAAAATGACACTTGATTAAATAGTTTAAGTTACTTGCCTAATATTTAACTATTAGGTGGTAAACGTAGGACTAAAATACTAATGACCAGACTTTTTTAATTGTGCCAGAAATGAAATGTTTCATGTAAAGTACTTTTTTCCAGTTTTTAAAATTTTTATTTTTAAATTACAGTTTACATTCAATGTTATTTTATATTAGTTTCTGGTGTAAATCATAGCAGTTATATAATAATATACTTCATAAAGTGTTCCCCCAATATTTCAAATACCTACCTGGCCTGCATAGTTATTACAGTATTGTTGACTATATCCCCTATGCTTTACTTTATGTCCCTTTCATAACTACCAATTAGTACTTCTTAATTCCTTCACCTTTTTCACCCAGCCCCCTAATAACCTCCCTTCTGGCATTCATCAGTCTGTTTTCTGTATCTATAAGTCTGCTTTATTCATTTATTTTATTTTTCAGATTCCACATAAAACTAAAATCACATAGAAAGTACTTTGTATACAAATTGATGATGATTATATCATCATCATCTCATCATTAGCATCTCTGAGGATTTTTTTTGTTTTGTTTTTATTTATTAATTTGAGAGAGAGAAACATCAATTTGTTGTTTCACTTATTTATGCATTCATTGGTTGCTTTTTGCTTGTGCCTGATTGGGAATCGAACCCACAACCTTGGTGTATGTATCAGGATGATGCTCTAACCAACTGAGCTACCTAACCAGGGCCTCTAAGTTTCATTTTAAAATGATGTATGCAGTGGAAAATGCACACTAAAACCTATAGTTAAATAGTTTGATGGAAAATAGGTGTTCTTTCAAGATCTGGTCTATGAATAAAATATTAAAAATTATTTGTGTTCTTTTAAACATTTTTTAGAGCCAAAGAAAGTTAAAGTAAAAAAATCAAAACCAGAATTTCCTGTGTATACACCTTTGGAAAGTGCATATATTCAATCATATGATCATGGAACTTCTATAGAAGAAATTGAGGAACAAATGGATGATTGGCTGGAAAACAGGAACAGAACACAGAAAAAACAGGTAAATAAGCTTTTCAAAATTTATTTTGTGTCAAATACATGCAGACAAGTACATTAAATATAGATATACAGCTACATATCTCAGTGATCTATCACTAGAGAACCAAGTTAACCATTGCCAAGATCAAGAAATAGAACATTGCTATTATTCACAGTGGCCAAGACATAAAAACAACCAAAATGTCTTTTGATTGATGATTGAATAAACAAGATGTGGTACATATATGCAATAGAATACTATTCAGCCATAAGAAAAGATGAAATACTGCCACTTGCCACAACATGGATGGATCTTGAGAATATTATGCTAAGCATGCTAAGCAAAGTAAGTCATATAGAACGACTCAAGAATCATAACGATTTCACTCATAAAACTGAAGGGAACAAATGAACAAACAAAACATATAAAACCTCATAAATACAGACATCAGTAAAGTAGTTACCAAAGGGAAGGTGGGCTGGTGGGGAGGAGTGTTGTATACTGTAAGTAGGATCAAATATATGATGATGGAAAGAGATTTGACTTTCAGTGGTAAACACACAATGCCATATACAGATGATGTGTAATAGAATTGTACACTGCAAACCTATATAATTTTATTAACCAACTAGAGGCCCAGTGCACGAATTTGTGCAACAATGGGGCCCTCGGCCTGGCCTGCGGGATCGGAACCACGCCAACTCTCTGACATCCCACAAGGGATCCCAGATTGTGAGAGGGCGCAGGCCAAGGGACCCAACCGGTGCATGATCAGGGCTAGGGAGGGACATGGGAGGTTGGCCAACAGTGAGGGACCACGGGAGGGCTCCAGGGTATGTCCGGTCCATCTCACTCAGTCCCGATCTGCTGGACCCCAGCAAACCTACTGGTCAGAGTATCTATTCCCTGATGGTCAGTGCACATCACAGCCACTGGTCAACTTGTTGACTGTCTGCCCCTTGGTGGTCAGTGCATGTCATAGCAAGTGGGTGAGTGGCTTTAGCATATTACACTTTAATTAGTTGAATAGATGACTGGACAACCGGATTCTTAACATATTAGACTTTTATTATATAAGATGTCACCCCAATTAAAAAAGAGGGGGGAGTGCATATTTCCAGTACAAGAAGCCTTACTCATGCTTTCTCCTTTGGCACATGAGCCAGGAGGTCACAGATTGATTCACTACTTTCCTTTTCTCCCAGCTAGATACCTGTTATCCTGACTTCTAACATCATAGATTAGTCTTTCCGGTTTTTTGAAGTTTATAAATGGAAACATCCTTCATCAATTCAGGCTGCTATTACAAAAGTATAATAGATTGGGCTGCTTAAGAACAAACATTTATTTCTCATAGTTCTCAAGATTGAAAAGCCCAAGATCAAGGCATCAGCAGATCTGGTGTCTGGAGAAGGTGCTCTTCCTAAGTCACAGACAGTAGTCTTGTCTGCCCTTACAGGGCAGAGGAGGTGAGAGAGCTCTCTGAGGTCTCTTTGTAAGGTCACTTATTTCACTTCTGAGGGCATATCACAGTGGGAGTTAGGATTTGAGGGGAACACAAACATTCCATTCAGAATACATGCCATATGTAATCTTCCTCTATTCAGTATAATATTTGTAGGACTCATTCATTATTGTGTATAGCAATGGGTTATTCATTTTTATTGCTATATAGTAGACCATTTAGAAATATATACAGCGCAAATTATTTTTTTGTTGGAGATTTGCATTGTTTCTATAATAGTTTTGGGCCACAAAATAATTTCCTGTGAATATTATTATACTTTTAATACATTATATAAAAAATGTAAATTTTTATTTTTGGAGTTATGTTGCAGGGTCAACTTCAGTAAAATACTTCTAAAGTTTTTTTTTTTAATGTTTGTATCAATTTCTACTTAAGCAGCATGATATGAAATTTCTAGTTACTCTATATTCTTGCCAATAATTGGTCAAGTTTTTTATATTTTAGCCATTATGGTAAGTTATGTACAGATATATAAGTATGTTTCAATTTGCATATCCTTTGATTAATAAGATTGATTTTATTAAACACAGAGCCTTTTTAAGTCTTTTTGTACTAGGTTGCCTGCATTTTTCATACTGATTTATAAAGAGTTCTTTTTATACTTCAGAAATGAATCTTGCATTTATTTCCTCCTTCTGTCTTGCTTTTTTACTCTCTTAATGGAATCTTCTGATGATCAGAATTACTAATTTTAATAATGAATCTTTTCTTTATTTGGTGTTTTTTGGGTTGTGTTTAAGAAATATTTTCTTATCTCAAAATAAAGATATTTTCATTCTAGCTGGTTTGGCTCAGTGGATAGAGTGTTGTTCTGTGGACTGAAGGGTCCAGTCAAAGTCACATGCCCAGTAAGGGGCATGTAAGACGCAGCCAGTCAATGATTCTATCTCTCAATGATGTTTCTATCTCTCTCCCCTCTCCCTTCCTCTCTGAAATCAATAAAAATATATTTAAAAAATAAATAAAGATACTTTAACATTCTTCTAGAAGCTTTCATATTCTACTTTTTACATTTAAGATCAGTTATCCCTGGAGTTGATTTTTGTGTTGAGGGTAAAGTAATGATCAAGTTTAATTTTTCTCCAAAAGTTTTTCATACCAATTTACCCAATACCAATTAATAAAAAGACTGCATCCTATAGCTCTACAAATAATGTCCATTTTTTCATAAAAGTGTCCATTACCATATGTTTCTATTTCCAGACTTTTCATTTTGTTCCACTAATCTACTTGTTCATTCTTATGCTGATACCTTACAGTTTTCACTACTGTGCCTTCATAATAGATATCTGGTACAGTAATTTTCCAGCTTTGTTTTTCTTCTATAAGATTGCCATTTTATATTTTTATATATAAATTTTTAAAGTAACATCATTTTCCACAAATTATTCAGGTATCATGTTCACTTTGAATTACATTGAGCATATAGATCAATTTTGAAAGATTTGGCATTCATACAGCATTGACTCTACAGGTCTTTTATCTCCTTGGTTAAATTTTTTCCTAGGTTATTTTTTAAAATATATTTTTATTGATTTCAGAGAAAGGAAGGGAGAAATAGAAACATCAAAGATGAGAATCATTCATTGGCTGCCTCCTGCATACCTCCTACTGAGGATCAAGCCCACAACCCAGCTTGTATTCTGTGAGCTTAGACTTTCTTTTTTCTCAGAAATCGAATCGGATTCATAAGTTGATGCTCAACCATTGAGCCACACCAGCCAGGCTAAGTATTTTTTTATGCAATTGTAAATGGGATTTTTTAAAATTTCTCTTTTAGTAGTTTTAGTCCTATATAATAAAAGGCTAATATGCAAATTGTCCCCCCTGGAGTTCAACCTCTCGCTATGACGTGCGCTGACCACCAGGGGGTGGCACAGAACAAAGGAAGGCTCCAGCTGGCAGTTGGAAGGCCCCAATCAGACCTGATCACTAGCCAGGCATAGGAACTCTCTACCCATGCACAAATTTTGTGCACTGAGCCTCTAGTTGATGTGTAAAGATGCAACCAATTTCTGAATATTAATTTTGTATTCTTCTACTTTACTGAATTCGTTTATTATAGTTCTAAGATTTTTTATGGAACCTTTAGGGTTTTTTGTATTATGTCATCTGCAAAAAATATAGTTTTACTTCTTCCCAATTAGATTGCCTTTTTCTAGTTTTCTTGTTTGATTGCTCTGGCTAGGATTTCCAATATTATGTTGATTGGAAGTGGTGAAAGTGGACATCTTGTCTTATTCCTGATCTTAAAGAAAAGATTTCAGCTTTTCACTGTTGAGCATATTGTTAGCCATATAAGGCTTTTTTGATGTTGAGGTATGTTTCCTCTATCCCCATTTTGCTGAGAGTTTTTAGCAACAATAGTTGATGGATTTTGTCAAATGCTTCTTCTGCGTTTTTTGGTATGATCATGTGACTTTTAGCCTTTATTTTATGTGGTGTGTCATGTTTATTGACTTACAGATATTGAGTCAATGTTACCTTGGAAATAAATCTCTTTTGATCATGGTGTATGATTGTTTAATGGGTTGCTGAATTCAGATTGCTAATATTTTGTTGAGTATTTTTACATCTGTATTCATCAGAGATATTGGCCTATAATTTGCTTTTGTATAGTGTCTTTGTTTTTGGTATCAGGGTAATGCTGGCTTTAAGTTTGGGAGCCTTCCCTCTTCAATGTTGAGAATAGTTTAAGAAGCATAGGTATTAATTCTTTAATACCTATTAAAGAATTAAAATAAATATAAAATAAATAAGTTTGGGAGCCTTCCCTTTTCAATGTTGAGAATAGTTTAAGAAGCATAGGTATTAATTCTTTTCATGTTTGTTACAGTTTACCTAGGAAGCCATCTGGTCCAAGGCTTTTGTTTGTTGAGTTATTTTTTATTATTGACTAGCATCTGTCTGCACCTGTAGTCTAGATGGAATAAAAGTTCAGCAATGGCATGCCTGCTAGCACTTCCATTTTTGGAAATAGTTGCCCCAACCCTTGCCCCTTCAGGCCTTGCCCTGAGGTTAGTCAGTTTACTAGTAGTCCTGTCCCATATGCTCCTGGTGCTTTTTAAGTTGCCTTTGTGCTGGAGCTTTGAGCAAGTGAGTTTGAGAGTGAATGAGTCTGTGTGCTGTCTCTTTAAGTCCTGTAGTACCTTGGTCTCCCATAGCCCTTATTTCTCTGTGACACAATCCTTACCAGTTTTCACAGCCTGATGTTATATGGAATCCTCTTCTCAGCACTGATGGCTCCAGTTTGGGGGCCTTGTGTGGGGCTGCGACCCCTCTCTCCGTAAGAGGGAACTCCATTACACTGAGTGAGGGACTCTTCTGTATTGGATATCTGCCCATCCTACCAATCTCATTGTGGCTGCTTCTTTTTATCCTCAGTTATAGGAATCATCACCAGCCAGTCTTCGGGTGGTTCTCCATGATGGTTGTTCTATAATTTAATTTTAATTTTAATGTGGCCATGGGAAGAGGGGAGCACAGAGTTTAT